AATTGGACCTATTACGGATATTGAACTAAAGCCTCGTTTGGCAAGTGGGTTTTTTAGTCAAAAAATCAAAAAGTTATTAAAAAAATAAAAAACCAACAACATATACAAAAAAGTCAAAGATTTTATTTTCTCTTAATTTTTTGCATATCTTTTCGTAAAAAATTAAAAAGTCATCCCAAACATACTAGTTTTCTTTACATCATATTTTAGCTCCAAAACCAAAATGTTACTAAAAAAGTCTGTTCTCAAACGAGGTTTAAATATTGTTAAAATTTTAAGAGTGAATTACGCCGAAAGTCCTTATATTTTGGCCTTTTTGTCATTTTAGTCCATCTAATTGTAATTTTTTTTAGAGATAAAAATGTAAATTTACTCAATTTAATGAGTTAATCTCAATCAACTTACTGATTTTTTTATTTATTTATTTTTTTTGTAAAAAAATCCTAAATGTGTATTAATTGAATCGAATTGACACAAATTTTAAAATTAAGAAATAAAATTAAATCAATTAAAATATAAAAATCAAATTGACATAATAAATAAAATATAAAGACTATCGATATAATTTACTGAAATTTTAATATAATCAGTCTTGGAAAAAGTAGAAATAATAATTTTCTTACTATAAAATTAGATCAAAGCCAAATTCTTAAATGAGACAAGTAATGAAGAGGACCCACCAACCCATAATGACCCAACCAGTCAGCTGAAATTTTAATTCATGCAGTAAACAGAGCCCCTAGTATTGCTCCCAAACTCGCTCTCTCTCTCTCTCTCTCCCCCTCTCCAAACACATTCATTCCCATTCAATTCATGTACCTGCCCCTTGTGTCTATCAAGAGGAAATTATAAGGGAAATAACATATCAGTTGAAAAGTTATAAATTTTGATTATTAAAATTATATATTTTTTCATATATTTGTAATTATTTTTAAAATTTTAACTGGATTTGTAATTTGTTCAAATTATAATCAGTAATTCTACAAATAACAATTTCATTTTGTTAGAATTGTTTTTATTTTTATTTTAAATAATTGATCTATCTTGTAAAATATATTTATTATTTATTTTTTTAATATAAATATGATAAAATAAAAAATGTAATAAATTAATCTAATTTTTTCGTGAATAATATATACTGAAAATCTTACAAAATAAAAAACTCAAATCATTAAAATATGACTCATAGTGGGCCCACATCTCCTCAAGTTCTATCAAATTAAGATTTAAACTTGAGAATAGTCTCATAAAAATTATTTTAGGTAAATTACCCTCACCTTTTTTGAAATTTTAAAAAAAATACAAATAATTCTACACTTTTGATATAATTACACCATACTCTTTTAAGGTTTTAATTCACATAATTCTTAGATAATTTTTCATTAGTAATTCATGAATTATACATATAAAAAAATAATGTTATCATATCTTTTTATTACTAAAATACTAGCAGTTGACTCGTGCACGTATTATTATTTTTTTCAAAAAATATTTGATGGTACAATATGTTATAAAAAATTAAAATTTAATTATGATTTTAATTATTTATTTTGATAATATTAGCGCTGTCGTTTTATAAAATTGTTACTTGAATACTTATATATATATATTAACTTTAATTAAATTATTTGTGTATTTTGATAATTTTAGTTCAATCATATTATAAAAATGTAATTACCATATAATAATTTTGTATGGTATATATTAAATTATAAATTAGTAAAATAAATACTCATGTTAATATTAAAAATAATAGTTAAATTAGAGAAGAATTAGTAATATAAAATTAAAAGTAATTTTAACTATTTAATTTTCTTTTTATATTCATTTGAAAAATAAAAATATGTAGAAATGGAAATTATATAAAATATATTTAAAAAATTAAATATAAATATATTGTAGTTGGATTAACATCTCATGGTTTTATATGATATATATATATTAAATTATAAGATTGTAAAATAAACACTCTTGATTAAATTAAAATATCAATTATATAAAAGAAATTCAACAATGACTAACTAATAAATAATCACATAACAACATCTAAACCCAAAAAGAAAAAAATAATGAAAACATTCAAATGATGGATACGTATCAGTGTATAAAGTGATTAATCATCTGTAATATGATGTCAAAACATAAAAAAAAAAACTTACTGTTCAACAGTTAAAAAATTAACTTAAGCAGTAAATCCAAACTTCAAAGGTTCATCGAAAGTATCATTGTTGTGCAGATTTTTTCTCCAGTGAGCTGTGATTCTAAAAATAATGTTGGAAATGAAGTATGATTTTATATATGAAATCACTATAAAATTTAAACGATAAATCCATAATTTAAAATAATATAGAATTGGTATTGGGTATAAAATAATACACGGAAAAATAAGAAGAAAAAAAAAAGGACAATTTATCATTAAAAAAAATCTAATACCCTTGAAAAAATTAAGAAGAAAAACATGAAATGTAAAATTAGTATTGAGTTTATGGATTATCTCAATTTCCGATGAAAAATATATGAAAAAATATATATTTATTAAATATAGTCTATATAAAATAGGTAAAGTTAAAATAATTTAAATTAGGTTCGTATTTGTGTAGAACTCTATATGTAATTAAAAAAAAAAATACATATTAATGTACTATCTTAGAAAAAAGTAAGCCTTTATAATGTGCGACTTAAATATGAAAAAAATACTACTTATATATATATAATATATATTGACTTTTGTTTATTTCAGTATTTACTTACTCTGGGGTTGTTTGGGGTGTCCTAAATAAGTGCATTTTTTGTCTTTTTGGACTAAAAAATTGAGGAAAAAAATATGGACATTTGGGTTAACTTTTTTACTTTTTATGAAAAAATGTATATTAAAAAATTGTAAAAATTGGTTTGTAAGAGAAAATTAGGATTGGGAGTTGTGCAACCGTAATTGTTGATTTTTGGTGAATAGTATTAACTTTTTAACTTTTTGAGTAATTTTTTGACTTTTTAACTTTTTTTTATCTTCCCAAACTTGGCCTCTATATTTGGTTAGATGATTTGAAAAGGAATTTGGAAACAGAAAAAGGGAAAGGAAAAGGAAAAGGCAAAGAAAGAGGTAAGTGAAATATAAATAAAATATACTTATGTTTTTACCTAGTTTCAAACACCATTTCCCATTTTCTTTCCAAATCTTTTCCTAAATCCACCCACCAAACACAGCTTTATTGTTTGTCAACTATACATTTAGAAAAAAAATTAAAAAGTTATTATAAATTGTCACATCACTCTATTTACTTTTCTACATATTTTTTTATAAAAGGTTAAAAAAATTATTAAAATAACTTATTTCCAAAAAAATTATAAGATTAATTATATTTTTTCAAACCTTCGAAGCGATGATTATAATTATACTAAATTATTTTTGTACTCGATTTTGTATGCTGTAATTTATTGCAAGAGGCAGTGTTAAAGAGGGAAGAAATGGTAGATATAGTTAGGAGTGTAAAAATGGCCCGTGACCCGTGGGCGGCCCGAAACCCGCACGCGGCCCGGGGTGGGCCTTGCTAGAGCCTAGCCTGAGCGCTTGGGCCAGGGCCTGAGCGCTTGGGCTAGGGCTTAAGCCATCATGTTGAAGCCTCATCTGACTCGTGGCCTAGCCCATCAGCCCACTTAAGGCCCATTCAAGGCTCGGCTCGCCCGATGTCCAGTGCCTTTTTTAGTGAAAAATAATAAAATTTTGGTAAAAAATTTAAATAAAAAAAAAATGGTTAGGCCCGCCCAAGCCCAAGCTCAGACTCAGGCCCACCGGGCTGGCCCGAGGCTCGGCCCATTGACCCGTCCAAGGCCCAAATACCTCTGAGCTTGGACCTAATTTTTTTGGCTCATGGATTGGTCTGACCCGAATTTTGTCTGGAGCTCGCGAGGCCCGATATGGGCTGGCCCCGGCCCAGCCAGATTTACACCCCTAGATGTAGTGTGTCCCACTCTCAGTTTTCCATGTGCCCCTCACGTGCCTCACCATCCCTCCCTACGTCTCTGTTCTTCGAAAAATTATACCATAGTTTTGGAGTACTCGAAAGTATCACGTGATCATACTTTATTATTAATTATTATTTATTATATCAATCAACATAAATAATTAATACTCTCTCCGTCTCAAAATATTATTTCCTTATTCTATTTTTCATTATTTCAAAATATTAGTTCATTTTCTAAAAATTAAGGACTAAAATAATACAAATTTCTTATTTTGTCATTCTTTTAAATTCATTAATAACACAAAAAAATATAATTATAACAATTGATATTTCTAAAAATATTATTATCAAAGAGTAATTTTGAAAAATTAAGGCTATGTTTGGAACCATTTTCAAACGAGTTTTCTACTCCCACATTTGAATATGATGTTTGGATAGAGTTGTGGAATTAATTTTTCACAACTTTACAGAAAACTCTGTTTGAGAGCGCGATTTAAATTTTTTTTTTTTTTAAATTTGGCCTAACCGGTCGTCCCACCGGACATCCGCGTCCAGCCGGTTGACCGGAGCAATTCAATTTTTTTTTTTTTTGCAATTGATATGTTAATTTTTATATATTTAAAAAAAATTCTGAATTTTTAAAAAAAAATTTATGTGCTTTAATAGAATTTTAAGTTGTATGTTTGGTTATAAATTGTAAGTTTTTGTGTCAAATATCAAATGTCACATAAAAAATTTTCCACTCAATTTAAAACTCTTTTCAAAATTATTTTCAAAACTCTTTCACTAAACAAATTTTTCACACTCAAATCATAATTTCAAAACTCACAAACTCAAAATATAACTCATACTCTCAAATCATAGTTACAAAGTTCTATCAAACGCAACCTAATATTTTTAAAGTGTAATAATTATACTATAAGAAAAATTAAATTCTCTAAAAATATTATTATTATGGGACAGATAGAATATTTTATTTTTTCTACTAATTATACTACTGTAAAATATTTATTTCCACAATCAATTACACAACGTAACGATACGCCGAGACTATCCTCTCTTTCTCTATATGTGTCCCACCGGTGACTACCGCCACCCCCTTGCATTAACCTCTTTCGCTCTCTAAAGAACCATGCCTCGCGTGCTTTCTAGTTTGGATTCCTCACCGCCATTTCTCACCGTAGTTGGCGGCACAACCACCACCACCACCACCACCGTGACTCGACCTCACCTCAGCCATGACGAGCCATCTTCTTCGTCGGCATCTGCTTCGATCATGATAGTAATCATCATCATCGCCTCCGCCATTATCGTCTCCGCTTCTCTCTACCTCTTCCTCCGCTGCCTCACTCGCCACTGCCACCGCACCTTCTACGCCGCCGACGTCGTCTCCTCCTCCCACAACAATAACAGCAATTCACGCCGTGTTCGCTGTTCCTACGAGACTCAAAATGCATCAAATGATTTGATTAGCTCTCTCCCTGTATTCACGTTCGGTTCCGTCACCGGAAACCTCGCCGGTGGAGATTGCTCCGTCTGTTTGTCGAAGTTCGAGACGAACGATCAGCTACGGTTGCTACCTCTCTGTTGTCACGCCTTCCACGCCGAGTGCATTGACGCGTGGCTCTCGGCGAATCAGACCTGTCCATTGTGCAGGTCCACGGTACATCCGACCGAGGCCGATGTACTTGATAAAATCCTTTCATCATCAGCTACCGTTGATCGCGGGAACAGTTTCCGAATTGAGATCGGAAATTTGAGCCAGCGACGAGAGGCGTCGGATTCCATCGACGCTAGGAATCGGAGATCGTACTCCATCGGCGGCTCCTTCGAGTACATTATCGACGACAGTTACGAAGTCTCCGTGGGCTCCACACACCGGCGAGGAGTCTCTGCGATCGACAAGGACTCCACCGGAGCCCCGGCGAGTGTGCCAGAACCGCCGGGAGAGAATTTAGCGGCGGAAGTGGCAGGTCGGAGCTGGTTGAGAGATTACATGGATCGACTCTCGTCGATTTCATCTCGAACGATGTCGTTTCGAAGCTCCAACAGGTTTTTCACCGGTAGCAGTCGGCGGAGCGACGCCGTAGTCGCCGTGGAGGACTTGGAAGGGAATCGTGTTGGAGAAGAAATCAGCGAAATCTTTCGGTGGCTCTCAGGGGTATGACTTGTAAATTCTCTCCTAAACCAGTGGCAAAATCATAATTTCAAGCTTAATTCCCACTTTTGCTCCTTCCACTCCATTCAAAGGAGTAGTGGATGTAGAAAAAAAAAATGGAATGAATTTGAGTTTTTCCCATTTCAAATCATACAAAATAGGTGAAAGGTAAACTTGCTATTGAGAAAGTCTTACAGTAGGTAATATCTTTGTTAATGATTTTTGTCTCATATGTAGTTATAATTGATAGCTATGAAATGAGTGGTAGTTAGAGTAATCAAATCCATTAGTGCACATATATGGTTTACCAGCTTCTAATTTGTCCAGTTTTTGTAGTGTGATCATGAAGAATGTCAAACATATATTGGCCAAGTTAGCTAAGCATTCGTTTGACTAATTTAATTGGGTTAAAAAAAACACAAAAGATAAAATAGATTAAATAAATTAATAAGATAAAATGTCGCATTTAAATCATTATTATTTCATTTTTTCTCTTACAAAAATTAAAAAAAAGTCAAAAAAGCCAAACCAAATGAATTTTTTAGTCTTAAATTTAAAAAGTCTCAACTCAAAAAAACCAACTAAAAAAGTTAATGTCAAATGGCGACTAAATTTGTTCACAAAAAAAATCGAACATTGACAATTAAGCCTTCGTTTGGATGTGGGTTGACATTTTAACTTCTTAGTTATTTTAGCCTAGGGTTAAAAGGTCTCGTTTGGGATAGACTTTTTGATTTTTTTGACTTTTGTAAGAGAAAAAATGAAATGATTATGGTTTGAATGTGATGTTTTGTCTTATTGAATTAAAAAGTTTATTTTGTCTTTTTATACCTATTTTAGCCCAAACATGACATGCCAAACGAAACCTAAGAGTGACAAAAATTAAATTTAGAAGGCATAACACTATTTGAGGCTCATCCTAAAATTATATATATTACAGCTAAATTAGCTAATTGCCCAATAGAAATCCAGTCTATGATTTTGCATAATGATGAGTAGCTCTTTCACTTGTTCATGAATTCCCTTCCTTTGACTTGATTATGATTGTGTTTGAATCATAACTTTGAACAGATTAAAAATAAAATAAAAAAAGAAAAGAAAAGAAAAGAAAATAGAAGAAAAAATTAGATTTTATTGTACTCACATTTTTCTTTCTCTTAATTCAAACTCAGTTTTAAGAGATTGATTGACCTGACAAATGAGACACTTTCTTAATCAAAGTTGTATTAGATTTATCATTGCAGAATTGATTGTAAAAAGAGAAAAAAATACTTTCTTTTTTTCTTTTTTCTTTTTTTTTCGGTTGAAGGTTAGATTTGATTTCAAGTTTTTGGTACACCTATTATTAAAAGACTTGTGAATTAAGTTAATGTGGTCATTTAATGTTGTACCCGAGCCTTGGATTTACCAAGAAAAATAAATAAATTCACCTCATTTTCTTTTTGTCAAGATAAAGAAACATAATCTTAGGGTGTTGTCATTTACTGCATTCCAACAAAAAAATCAAGATTGAGATATGAATTTGGTGTAACCAAAGGGTTTGTTTGGATATGAGTTGATTTTTTGACTATTTAATTTGGGGCTAAAAAATATCGTTAGTGATAGGTTTTTTTGACTTTTATGAGAGAAAAAATAAAATAATTATGATTTAGATGTAACATTTTGTCTTATATCACTAAAATAACTTATTTTATCTTATATGACTATTTTAGCCCAAACTAATATCCCAAACGGGAGCAAAGCCAGATTGAGTTGTTGTGCCCTTTCTTTGACTTGAAACCTTGAAATTTGTTTATGTTCATTTTATTTTTTATTTTATTTTTGGGTAGCCCTATTAATATTTTGGTTTTGTTGTAACTATCCATGAAATTTTGGGATGATCAAATTATATTAAATCTAGCATTTAGTGAATCTTATCACGTTTTCAAGAGATGAGGATATATAATTAAGTAAAATATTTTGATCCTCCATGTAATTCTCTCTGCCTTAAATTAATCAGAGTATACATAAGTGACAAAACTTTCCTATTTTTTTAAAAAAAAAAATTAATTTAATTTGTTTTTTGGGGTAGGTCATCCATATGTGGTCCTAACACATTCAAAACCCAATAAAGAAAACTCCTAAATAGTCCCCAAGAAACATGGATCCTTTGTCTCTTGGGTATCACAATACATGTCTCGAGTCTTGACCTCTACAATTTCTCCCAAATTAATGACATTTACATGCTTTGATTTCTATTTGCTTTAGCTCATAATCTTCGTTACTCATGACAACTGGAAAATTATTTTGTAATACTATCATGACATGTACACATAGTGAAAAAAGAGAATAGGTAAGATCAATCTTGTCACCAACTTAATTTGCATAGTGACCTTGACTCCTAACAATTAAAACTTATTCAGGGTTGGTTTGGAAAGTGAGTTGACTTTTTGGCTTTTTAATTTTTTTTGACTATTTTAGCCTGTGCTAAAAAGTTTGGTTTGGGAAGGTCTTTTTAACTTTTTGGCTTTTTTGACTTTTTTGTGAGAGAAGAGTGTAATGATTATGTATTGGATGTGATGTTTTATTTTTTGTGGCTAAAATAGCCTATTTTGTCTTTTGTAGCTAAAATAGCCAAAAAAGCCCAATCTAACTCTTCCCAAACGGAGCCTCAGAAGCACTACTATGGTATATGCACATATGCTTCGTTTGCTTTAGCATAACATAATTTTTTTACAAAATGTTTTCTTTAGTGGTGGTAGGGTGGTGAAGGTGGATGTGGTGATCGTGGTAGGGTGATGGCGGTGGCCGTGACAGTGGTTGTATAGTAGCATTAGTAAGAGAGTGTTTAGATGATCTAAATAAGTATATTTTTTGACTTTAATGTATAAAAAAAGTAAGGGATGATATGATTCGAAAAAATAAAATGATAAAAAAAATACATTTTTATATGAGATGCCAAATAGTGCTTTAGTCAACATGTTACTCACATTTCAAAAGTGAAAAATATTTTTCACTCAAATAAACTTATTTATCATTGATTATAGAATATATTTTCTGTTGATTTTCATTTTTCATTATACCAAACAATAAAAAATGTAATAAAATATTTTTCAAAAGATAGATAAATTAAGTCAACTTTATTCATTGGATTACAACTGCTCTTATTGATACGTGATTTGGGAGTATCATATTCGGGTGCTGAGCTTGTATTCTCGAAAGTGACTTTGAAAAGGGAAGGGGGGGTTGAAAAAAATGAAGCATGAGTTGGTAGGGGTGAGAAAATTGGGTAGTTTCTTTTTTGAATGTGAATAGAAAGAGAAGGGCACAAATTGAGGGGGGTAATAAAAATAAGAGAGTTGAGCATTGATAGAGACCCCCTCCAATCACCACCCCCATCATCCCCACACATACGTGGCGGGTGGTGATTGAAGAAAAAGAAAAAGAAAAAAAAATAGAAAAGAAAAACTAACCAATGGGAGGAAAAGGAGGTCAAAGGGGGTGGGAGTGAAAGGGGGTCTCAAACATTTTTGTTATATAATATAGCAAGAGGACTTCAAAATATTAATTAGCCAACAGAGGACTTGATGACAAAGCATCAAACCACTTTCTTCTTCTTCTTCTTATTTTTTTTTGTTTATTTATTTTTTATTTTTTATTTTTATTCACATAAGTAACCACTGAGTTAGCTGTTTCTTTCTTTCTTTGTTCCAAGGACCACTGATGTCCTTTGTGGGCTAGAGGGTACTGATTCTATGATTGTTGCAGTACCAATGAAGAAATCTAACATGAAAAAAAATATATATATATATTATTTATGTGGTTGTACTTGTGTTTGTGTACTAGTATGTAATATGTATGAGCATCTTAGCAACAAATTATACAAACTCAAGTATAGGAGTCTAAACAAGTCACTTACCAATGGATAAATCCCATTGGCTCCACTTTTTTTTAGACTGTTTTTGAATCATGAATTTAGATAAAGATTTGGAAATGAAAAAAGAAAATATAGGTGAAATATAATATGTTAATAAAATATAATTACATTTTAATCATATTATTCAAATACAGTCTTAATGCACAAATGACTTCATAGGCTTCCTTCATATGTCATCCCTTTCCATTTAATCATTGACAAAACATACCTTTCAATTCGACTTAACAAAATAATTCAAAACTTTTAGAATAATCAATTGAATGGGTAGTTATGATCTTCCAAACTTTACCGATGGTATGGATGAATCCAATGCTTCATCCAAATGTGTAAATTATCTTAGCTACACTTAAAAGTTGAGTTACGCGACTCGATTTTGAAAAGGATGAGAGGACGAGCTCCTAGGAGCCTTCAAAATCATGTTAATTGTCACTATAACATATAAGAGTTTTAGAGACCAAATGTTTTGATCTCTAAAAGTGAAAATTTTGTTGTAAAAGATATTTAGGGATCAATTTTCATCATCATGAGGATAGTCACTAAAAGGTCGTCCCGAAAAGTAAAAAATAAGGCTGTTACAGACAAAATTTTAAAAATGTCACTAATAAATAGACTTTTAGGTACAAAATAATTTGGTCTCAAAATGGTTTACTTTTTTAGACAAAAAATTTGGTCCCAAAAGGATAATAATTCATCACTAATGCCCTATTTTTGTTGCTAAAAATATAATGACGACACTTTTTGTAACAAAATTATTTGGTCCCTAAAAAATAATTTTATCCCTAAATTTTGGTCTCTAAAACCAAAATTTTTTGTAGTGTGTTCAAGTTTGACTTGAGAACTTATCGAATTTCAAAAGTATACTTAAACTCAACTTATTTATCTTTTGAGCCGATCTCAAATATGATCCAATCAAACCGGTTATAGTCAAACTCAACTAATTTGATTTTTATAGTGCATAAAATTTTCTCTAACAAGCTTCAAAATGTATGCAAATTAGACTTGTTTACATAACAAATTGATTTTAAATGAATTTTAACAAGTTAAGCATAAATCTAACTCGAGTAGTTTGATTTCTTTTATAATCCTTCTAAATGTCTATACACTTCTATAGTACACAATGGCTTTACATAGTTTTTCAGGTTACTTTGAATTTAATAATGCTATGATGACTAAAATTTGGATATCAAATTTTGTATACCCTCTTACATGTCGCCAATGCATTGATTTTAATTGGCCAAATCTTTTATGTTTTGTATCAATGCATTAATAATACATTAGATGATATCCAAAATTTGATACTTAAATTTAATCACATTATGTGATTGGAGTAGCAACTACAAACTCATGCACATACTTTTGGATCTGTTTGGTTTTATTTTCGATTTCGTTTTCATTTTCCTGTTTTTAAAAAACAAAAACAAATGAAAAGTAAAAAAATGCTCATTGTTTTCATTTTGTGTGACAATAGGCTTTTAAAAAATTGATTTTTTTTTTTTTTTGATGTTTTTAAAGAGGTTTAAAAGGTTGCATAGTTTATGGGTGATTGATTGGTGTTATGATGTTTTTGTCTTTTCAACTTGAGGAAGAAAACTAAGTCATTAAAGTTTAGCAATCAAATAATCTTTAGGTTGTGTTTTTGGATCATGAATTGGGAAAGAAAAAGAAAAAAGGTGAATAAAATGTATCTTTTTTTATTCATATTTCACTTATCTTTTTCATTTTCTTTTCCACAACCTTGAGTTGATACAAGATACGCCTCACTTCAACTCCGCCTCTCTATTCTCTTCTCTGTTTTTTCGACTAATAAATAAAGTTGATACAAGATTAGCGAAATAGACATATCCTACCTGACTTTTATTTTTTTTAATGATTTTACACTACTTAGAAGCAACTTCTAAAGCAACAGCATTTGATCCCCAAATCATCATCTGAAACAAGGAAAACAAACAAAACAAAAACAAAAACAAAGTAAAGTTATGAACTCATGATATACAACAAAACAAACATACTATCAACATTCTCACAATTCAAAAATTACAACTCAATATATTCGAAATGGTAACCAGAAAATTGCATCATATGATTCCTCCTAATATTCTCTTCGTCAGCTGAAACGAAACAAAATCTCATAGCAACAGAAAAGTGTACAGAGAGCACATTGTCAAAATGTTGTTGAAAAACATGCTTTTTTTTCTCTGTCCACTGCTGCAAGGAGTACTTGTCCCACTGAAACACCCTTTCTTCTGTTTAATCCCTTGACCTAGATCTTCAAGTACAAATGAAGAATTTGTTTGACTACTACTAAACAAAACACACCAATAAAACCCTTTGTGAGTCCCAATCAAGCCTACTCCGACTTCGGTATGCGTTTTATTTTCAAGGAGAGAGAGAGTTTTCTTGTCTTGAACAAGCACACGAGAAAAGGCTTCGGATGGCTCAAGATACTTGTGCTGACACCCCACAATGTGGCCTGAAATGGTGCCAAAAGTTGGTAGTTCAACGCCACAATTGGGAGCAAAAACTTCAGTGAAGTCATCTTCTGGTGGTTGACAATTTACTGTGTTGTTGCCCGTGCAGTTCCCCTTGCATTCCTCTGCATACTGCAATGCCATGCAACCAAGACCAGGACTGTTGTTCAATTGTTGAAGCCTTAGGGCTGTACGGTTCTTGTTGATTATATCAACTAGATCATTTGCAGGGTTTCCTGTGGAACAAAACCATAAATCAGAAATTGCACATGCATGAACATTCATGGATTAGTCCTTGAAAGCATTGACAATTAAATGTGATTTATCCCAAAAATCTACAGTTTGAATGATTTTAATATCAGATCTACGGATAGTTTTAGAACTAAGTGCAGACTAGAAACAATCATAAAAATGTGGACCAAACTCTGGGGTCCTTGATATTTAAATATTCTAAAGTACATTTATAGTTGTGCACAAATGTGGACCAAACTCTTACTTGGGTGACGTTTCCTACTCAGAAACGCGTTTCTACGCTCCCAAGTAAGAAACTCATTCCTGTCGAGGAAGAAACTCACTCTCAATTGATATAGAAACTCTTAACCATATAACTCTCAAAAGAAACAAAAGAAAAACAATTTTAACTTCTTGTACTACTTTCTATTTACATGATATATATTTATACTTGATGAAGACAATTTATAGTTGACATTAGTCTCACATAATTATTCATATTTTTTTACACATATTGCAACTAAGCTGAAAAATTAATTGTTAGAATATATTTATATATTTAATATATAAAATATATCTACACTCCTAACCTTAGAAACTTCTATATGCCCTCACTCCGCCACTCACACTCCTGTCCCTATCCCCGCTTTGTGCAACTAAGCCTAATTCCAACTACTATGAGCAGCCCTTGTTCTTTAGCCAAAAAAAGGTTAACAGCAGAAGACTAAGGTCTCGTTTGGAAACAGGCTAATTTAGTAAATTTTTGGCTATTTGGCTAAAATATGAGCTAAAAAAACTAGTATGTTTGTGATGACTTTTTGGCTTTTTACGAAAAGATGTACAAAAAATAGAGAGAAAAGAGAATCTTTGACTTTTTGGTATGGGTTGTTAGCTTTTTGGCTAATTTACTAATTTTTTGATTTTTTGGCTAAAAATGAGGGTTCCCAAACGAGGCCTAAATAATCTTCTGCATATCTATTCCATTCCAAGGCAAGATTTCAAACTTTGGATTAATGTAGTGTTTGGTTCATTGAAAAAAGAAGGTAGAATGGAATGATCATTCCATTAGAATGTCCATTTTCACGTTTGATTCACTAAAAAATGATTAAAAAAAATAAATACATTACAACTGTAATCACCATTGTAAGTGAGTGTAATTCCATAGGAAGGTTAAGGAATGAGCATTCCATTTCATTCTATTTTCAATCCCGTGAACCAAACATAGCATAAGAGTCACTTCCATGAATAAGAGAAAGGATTTGCTATATTCTCTTATTATTGATTTTGTCCATTTATGTTTGTTTGTTCTTGTTTTTTTGCTCAAAAAATAAAACATCTGGTTCTCTGAATTCTCATAACAGATTTGTTTGCAAATTTAACCAGATAATAAATCCATTTCATATCTTATATTAACTAGGTATCTCTATTTTAATGCTTGTATGGACCAACTTATAGTATATAGTATATATGCAATAGCGTGGATTTAGGATTTATTAAAAAATTTCATGATAGCTTCTCTTACATAATTGGTTCCAATTTAAAGGATGAATCTTTGCCTTCAAATTACATTTGATAGCACAATCAAACAAGGCCATAATCAATAACATGTTTTTTCCCAAATCAAGCAACTAACTTCTCATCTGTTTATCTCTTTCCAGATGGACCAAAAAGAAAAAACCCTGCAAAGAGAGCCACTTCCCATGATACAATCTGGGGTAAATTACACTTAGTATCCTTGCATTTTTACCAAAATCTCACTTTGATCCATTCACTTTCAATTGTAACAGTCAACCCCCTATACTTTAAATCAAGTTTCAATCTCATCCTTCCGTTCACCTACTATTGGTAAAACTAACAGAAATTTAAAGTGTAGGGACTAAAGTGAGATTTTGATAAGTGTAAGGAGTGAAGTGAGATTTTAGTAAAAGTGTAAGATGCTAACGAGACAACAAAAGTGTCACACATGCTTCAACTAACAAGTTCCGTCAACTTTATTAACGGTAGATGGATAGAAGGATGAGATTGCAACTTGACTTAAAGTTTGGGAGGGTTGATTGTTACAAATGAAAGTGAAGGGACTAAAGTGCGATTTTGGTAAAAGCGCAGGGGTAGTAAGTGTAATTAACCCTACAATCTTATTTACATCTAAAGATTTTATATTTTGTTGCAGTACAGAAATTTGGGAGATCTTATAAATATAATGCTTGTAAGCTTATTCAATTGGTTCCATTTAGGATTTCCTTCATTTAAATTTAATAATAATAATAATGACACAGAGCTAGTATATATATAGCACGATAAGACCAAACCCTTTGCTAAGGCTAGATGGATAAAAAATGTCTCCCCTTAAACATTTCTACAGCCCCTAGTAATAATGAAAAAAGTTGAAAAGGAGACATAAGAAAAACAACCAATGATAGGCAGAAGATTGACAAAATTGCAACTAAAGTTAAAACAATGAAACAAAGAAAATTTGGGAATATTATCAGAAAATTATGAACTTGTGAATCTTGAATGTCACTAAAAAGACAGTTTGCAAATAGTAATGACCTCACAAAAAAACGAACAACTCATAATTAAGACACATTTGAACACGGTAAAATGTCTGGCTAATAATCCAGGAACTTGTGCCCTTTTTTCTCAACATTGCTACAGGCACTAACCATTGTTTTCATTTTGTTTTTTTTTTTTTTTTTAATCCTATGCCACTAATATGACTTACATACAAATTTAACTTCTAAAATATTTAAGTCCTAGTCTTTTATCTTCTTGCTAATCTCCTTTAAAGCTCACCAGTACTCAGCTAGGTTAGCTAGCACCTTTGGAACTTGTTGCTTTGCTTCACTAAGTAACAACTTCTTACATTTTCTTTTGGTTCCACTAGGAGAGGGAAGGAAACTAAGCAGGAAAGTATGTGATGCTGTCTTATTACTTTTCCAGACTCATTTAACCTGACCTAACAGCTTTAACCCTCAACCACAAAAGAGAAGTTGTTTCTTAAGGGATGTTAAGAGTAAGACATTAGTCAAATTTAAATCAAGGAGGAAATCATAGGAGTAAGACACTAGTGTGTTCATGTTGTGTCCGAACACCAACATTGGCACTCATCAAACACTTCCTGACATTTGTCAAACTCGAACACACGTCAAATATGTCATATTACTTTTAAATTTGTTTTGAGACCTAGACATACTTTAGACACTTGGAGAACACACATCTATTGCTTAGACACATAAAACACATTATAAGTTTTAACAAAATAAATTAAGGACACAAAATACCTATTAATCCCTCCTTTAAAACACATTATATATATACCTATTAATTCCTCCTTTAAACTTTAAATTTAGTGTTATATTGCATTTTTTATTATCTTTAAATGCAATATTCATATTCATATATATATATAACATATAATAAATATATAAAATCATATATTTTGTGTCTCCTACATATCATGTCTTGTATTTTTTTAAAATTAGGATGTCAGCATGGTTGTGTCGTGTTGCATTTACGTGTATGTGCTTCTTAGGCAAGACCTACACGTTAAAATTCCATATTTTGAAACCCAAATCATATCTGAATGTCTTAGAGAAATCATTGGTTACTAATGGAGTAATGTTTAAGACCTAATAATAAAAATACCCCACAAAACATCTAAGATATTTTGTTGATTTTTCTAAAGAATCATTTGTCTTAACTGCAAAAACTTTAAAATTCTTATAGTGGGGTACATCTTACAAGGAAATTTGTATTTTTCTTCCTTTATAAGGAAAAGGCAAGCAGAATTTGTCAATATAATCAGCAATTAAGTTTCTTTATTTTGACGCAAGCAATATACAACAGAACAAGATCTGCATTGTTCATCAATGTATAAATGTGAATGGAATGTCAATCTTATAGTCAATTAATCCAATTTGTTTGCAGAAAATCTAACCAAACAGAAGAACAGATTGCAGCTGACTCGTTGATTAAGACTTTCTAAACTATGCTACAAGGAATAGGAGCTCAGTGCTGTGGTCTGGATTACTTAGGATCATTTTCCATCCTCTTCGTGAAGCTAGTCAAATGTACTCTAAAACTGTTTAGAATTATAATTTTATGTATTTTTATTTGTAATATTCAAGTGATGGAGGTAGACGATATAAAAACTGGTGTTATTGAAGGTATTTTAGCAAGTGATTTCAGTTGTATTGAACTTGCTTTGCCTAATTTATTTTCTCAGTTGAGATTGAGATACAAACAAAAGAGTATTAAGGTTAATAAAATATTGATAAAATATTCCCCCCGTTGCGCGCCCAATGCAAGTGGGTTGGTCAGAGTAAATGTATATGATCGGAAGTTAGATGGTAATGACAGTCTGCAGGCGTATTTTATTTTCCCTGTGGATTGTCAATGTGACTTAGTGTATTATGGGAATGGTTATTGTTCCATTAACGAAAAACAGTTGCCATGGATGGTGAGGTATCGACTCAAAATATTCGAATATTAAAAGGGGAGTGACATATTGTAAAATGAAGGGGAATTTGAAGTATTCTACAAGTGAAATGCCAGAAGATTCACAGTTGAGGGCCCCATCTATTGTGATCTTATCTAAAAAATATATGACGGCGAATGTTGATGTTTGGCATTGTGCTCCAACCGAAGTTCTTTCGATTCTATCGCGGACTAAGTCAGTTGGTTCACCTGAGAGGCGGAGAGATTTGCTGTTAGAAAGTTTTGGGGAAAGTGGTTCAGTTATTGATGAACGTAGAGGTCGTCTCAGCTTGTCCGAGATTGATGTATGCAGAGGTGGTAATGGTGCTAGTGATGTTTGTGATGCCCCAATTTTTTTTTGGAACATCATAAAATTTAAATAACAAATAACTTGCTAAATAAAAATTTTAACTAATTAGGGAAATTTAAATTCTCACATAGTTGAGCTTAACAACAAAACAAAATTACGAGTCCGCAAATACTATTACAACAACTTTATAACATTCGTAATTACTAATACAAAAGATAA